AATGATTTTATCACACCCAACAAATTTAAAAACAATTCCTAATATCCAACAATGCAGAATATTATTCAGATTTCTCATAGTGATTCAACAATGTCATTTTATGGATAGATTGTTGAATCAGGTCCCATATAATGTGTACATATTATATTTGGTTATTATATTGCTTTTGTTAGAGTAGCTATTCTTAAAACTTGTCTTCTAAGTCCTGAGTGAGATGTTGGCATATGATCCCTTCCAGAGTGAAGTTGTTTTATTCCCTACACAGGAAGACAACTTTTGTCTTCCAGCCGTGACAGAGATGGACATAAATCAATTAAAGATGTGAGTCAGGAAACAAAATCCAAGTCAAGTTAAAGACTCTTGAGTTAAAGACTCTTGAGTTTGGAATGGCTCAATAGCACCAAGGATACTCACTATCTACCTGTCACAATATTAAATAAAATAGTGTATATAGGTGCTTAAGAGACCTGGCATAAGGTGAGCTAGTCAAATTTGTATAGAAAATAAAAGTAAATAAATTTATTGATGTTCCTTTCTGTCACACACATTTTCAAATTTAATGTTCCCAACAACCTGATGATAAGCATATTGCCAATCCTATTTTATAGCCATTTAAAATGAGTCAAATAATTTGACCACCAGGGATGAAGCTGGAACTTAAACACAGGGGTATCTAATTCAAAATTCTATGCTACATCATACTATGACAGCAGGGTTGAGAGCAATCCGGCAAGGAGCCAGGGAAGTAAGGCAGGAAGTCCAGTGATGTGCATACTGAAATCCAGGTAGGAATTATGAAAGGAACTAAATATGAAAGAGGCGAGAGGACAATCAAGGAAGAAGTCCGCAAGCCATATAAAGAGGGATAACAAAAATCATAGCATTTGGTTGATTGAGTGAATAGTAGGTTTGAAGAGTCTAGATTTCTGGTTTTTATATCTGAGTAAATGGTGATACCATTCATCAGGACAGGCAATTACTTGAAGATGTAAGTTTTATGAAAAAATTTTTAGACTATTAATATAGAATTCTTGGATGATAATCAGTAATTGAATATGTGAATCTGGTATTTGCCAGTGAATTGGTAAGTAGTCAAATCCATGGAATACTATAGAAAATAAAAAGATCAGAAGGTTGGGTACGGAACCTGGATAATACCACCATGAAGAGGATGAATTGAGGCAGGTAAGAACTTAAAAGAGACAAAGATAGATGAGCCAAAGAGGGTAGAAGAAAATAAGAAAATGGATCAAGAGAATAGAAAATTACAAGAGAGTACAAGTGGTCAACAGGGACAATGATTGCAGTAAAGTATAGTGAAACAAAGATGCTAAAGAATGAGGCAACTAAAGGATATAAGATCATTTTCTTGATTTTCCTTCAATGACTTTAGGTGTACTTGTGAACAACTTTGGCAAAACAGCTTCTTGGGTGACGTATTCTGCCATGATCCCATCTTAGGATATCTTTTCATATGAATAACAACTCATGATTTCTGTCCCAGAAATACTAAAGTTGCTCCATTGTCTTCAGATCTATGATAATGCAGGTGAGAACTAAGAAAAAAGGTAACTTCACTCATTTTTAAGTGCCTGACTTTTCGTTCTGAAACATGGAATTCATCATCACTGTCTTCTATAGTTTAAAATTATAACAAGATACAGTTTGTGTCATTGCCCTGATTACTAATGATACTGGACATGATAAACTCAGCTACTATTTTGGGTCTTTTTATCCCAGAATTCTAAAATGCATTTTATTAATCCTTAATGATTACTTTGGATCAATTTGTTGAGTCTATAATTTTATCTTCATGACTGACCTTTATGCCATTATATTCTGATCATTTTTTAAATCCATGATTTCATTTTCTCAGTATTCTGGGTAAGGCTTATTTGATTATCTGCAATGCATGGTCTGCTTTTTACTACTTTCAAATAAGATTTTATTTCAGTTATTGTCATTTTCATTATGTAGCATGCTCTGCTAACCAGGTCTGTTTGCTCAATAGAGACAATGCCATCTTTTATTTCATTAGGAATAAAAGTAGGTAATTTCTAAAACATGTCTTCTTTCAAGAAATAGATCAGACTGATTTCTAACTTGGCTCTACTGTATGGCAGAATGGCTGCTAGTTTTTCATCTATTGAGATTGATGTGTTGATATTTTCATCCTGGAAGTTAAGATTTTTCTTGGCATCTTGAACAGCAGCAATTGTTGTTTTGGAAAGGATGGATTATTAGAGAAATGATCCTGACACCTTAAATCTCAACCAGTGGTTCTTGAATTTCTGAGCACATGAGAATCATCTGGGAGCTGTGTAAGAATTCAATCGGGGCTCACTCCTAGTGATCTGAATCAGCATATTGGGATGGAGTGCTCAGAAACATAATTTTAAATGTTCAATATAAAATTGTCAAACACACACATAAGTAATAGTATATTAAACCATACACCTAGCAATCAATTTGGCAATTATCAATATTTGCTTATCTGTTTCTTCTATCACCACTGCCCCTGTTTCTTCTTTTTAAAATTATTATTTCAGCATGAATATTTTAAAACATATCTCACACATCAGTCCTTCATTCTTAATCTAAAAATTGTATCTTTAACTGATGAGAACTTCTTTTTAGATTCACCTTATCAGAACAGAGAAATTTAAATATATATAACTGCAATGAAAGAAAATCCATCCAGTCACTGCAGTTATTGAATTTAGAAAATCCCCTTTCCCCAAAGCCCTTAAAATTCTCTCTAAATAAATTTGATGACATACATTTAAAAAATACAATCTGGATTCTCAAGAATATTATTATACATTAAGTGTCAAATTGTCATTAGTTACTAAGTCTTAAAATTTTAACGCTGACTCTGACTTCAGGGTCTTCCCAAAATGTGTAAGTAAAATGTAAAATTTGTTAATTTTTAGGGGCAAATAAACTTCCAAATTAACAGAGAAGAGATGAGGCATTGACTTGATCTGGATCCCCTTTTCAAGGACTACCACATATCATTCTGAATATCACAAAACAGATCTAACAGTTCCTTCTAACTTAAAGAAATTCTAATAGTTGTCTGCAACTATCACAGTTTATTGTTTCTAAGTAAATTGCTGTTTAATTATAATAACCATTTGGATTTGAAGTCACAGACTCAAAGCCTGCATAGACCAGGCAGACAGAGTTAACCTGTGTATCAAAAGAATCAAGTATTGGGGCATGACTGGGCTGGGGAACTCAGGTACTGGATTAAGGGTGCAATTGCTACTCAGCTCCACCTGATTATTGCCACATAGTGTTGCCAAATCCTCTCATGTTTCAAGAGAAGCTAAAAAATTTCAGATTTTTTTTTTTGAGACAGGGTTTCGCTCTTGCTCAGGCTGGTCTTGAACCCCTGACCTCAAGGATTACAGGTGTGAGCCACCATGCCTGGCCAAAAAGAGATCATTTTAAGTGATCTCTTGGTATTTAAAAATTGACACAAGTTTTAGAGAACATATGGCACATAATAAGCCAACCATATCTATAAGTAAAATTCAAGTTCCAACCTCCACTGTAGCAAAAACATTCCTTTCGATAATTAGTAATTGTGCTTACTTATCTTTGGAAAACCAACAACTGTGGGCTTTTGAGGCAGATATGCCTTGGTTTGCATTCTTGTTTTGCCACAGAAGAGTTCTGGAACTTGGCACAAGTTACCTGTTCTCTATAAAACTTCATTTCTTTAGCATTTCTTACAGAGGAAAATGGCAATGGCCTCGAAGCACTGTTGTGATGATTAAATGATATAAACATACAGCCAAACTCCCCATTAATATCAACTGCATCTGTTTTCTACAGTTTTTCTGCCAATGGTGGCAATAATGGGAAGTGTGTGTGTGTGTGTGTGTGTGTGTGTGTATAAAGAATATCGAATTAGCTCAGACCATATTCTATCAGTAATTTACTGCATGCTTCTTGTCAAGCTACTTAACTTCCCTGGGCCTCAGTTTCTTGTCTGTACATAACAAAGTGAGCCCAGTGATGCTTCTCATCCTAAAGTCATTCTGAGGCACTGAGAGAGAGCTTACAGGCTTGGGCCCAGATTTGAATTTTGGCTCTGCCACTCACTCCCTAGGTGTGAGATATGGGACATGTTCCTAATTTTCCCATGTTTCAGTTTCCCCATCTGGAAAGATAATAAAAATACCTACCTTACAGGGCCCTTTTAAGAAACAAGTAAGACATGTAAAGCCCTTAAAACAGTTCCCAGAACATAGTAAGTGCCTAGTAAGTAATAGCTATTTCTATAGTTCGTAGAATCTAATATACCATTGTTTTAAAAAGTAACACTCTATGTACCACTAAGGAAGAAAAAATGTTGCTTTAAATTAAATTGTGATATAATGCTTTGTTATTAGAATTTTTCTTTTGTATGTAATAAAAAGGTCTCTAGATCTCAGTATACATTTGCATCAGATACCACTCTTATGGATAAATAAAAGAAAAATATACATTTAATTGGTTAGATTGACTTTGCCAAATCACTTTGCAACTTTGAGTTACTGGCACATCCATATCAGTGCTTTTCTACTCAATGTTATCTGGGCAATCAGGAGCATTAGGAATGCTTTATCTCCTTTACTTCTCTTCCTGCTCCTTCTTCTTATTCTGATTTTTAAAAAGACTTTTAATTTCAAAAATTTTCCAAGATGCATATTAATAGAGAGAATAGTATAATGTACCCATAACCCAAGGCAACAATATCCATATGTATCCAAGACAACATTCTTAACAAAGTGCTTTTTACCATCTGCAAGATTTTTCTCCCAAGCTGCTAACAACATCATTTTGCAAGTTTTGATGTTTACTTTTTTTATTGTCTTACTAGAAGATACCAATAGAATTTTTTTCAGGCAAGAATTGGGACTCCTATTCCTTTCTCCAGTTGCCCTGAAATGATTTGTTTTTCAAGCATCAAGGGGCTGTCCTTGTTCAGTCATGTCAACAGGAACTCCAGCCAACTTTCTACATGTGCAGGCAGTGACAACTATGTCACAATTGCCACCTGTCGAACAGCAATTTTAGGGCACTATTTATTGGAAGGAGGCATCCCGACTTCAGGAATGTTAAAATATACAGGGGAAATAAAAGCACAATTTGGGATTGATGCAATAAAATATTATCATAAAATATGACCCAAAGGATATAAGATCATTTTCTTGATTTTTCCTTCAATGACTTTAGGTGTACTTGTGAACAACTTTGGCAAAACAGCTTCTTGGGTGACGTATTCTGCCATGATACCCATCTTAGGATATCTTTTCATATGAATAACAACTCATGATTTCTGTCCCCAGAAATACTAAAGTTGCTCCATTGTCTTCAGATCTATGATAATGCAGGTGAGAACTAAGAAAAAAAGGTAACTTCACTCATTTTTAAGTGCCTGACTTTTCTGTTCTGAAACATGGAATTCATCATCACTGTCTTCTATAGTTTAAAAATTATAACAAGATACAGTTTGTGTCATTGCCCTGATTACTAATGATACCTGCGACATGATAAACTCAGCTACTATTTTGGGGTCTTTTTATCCCCAGAATTCTAAAATGCATTTTATTATATCCTTAATGATTACTTTGGATCAATTTGTTGAGTCTATAAGTTTTATCTTCATGACTGACCTTTATGCCCATTATATTCTGAATCATTTTTTAAATCCATGATTTCATTTTCTCAGTATTCTGGGTAAGGCTTATTTGATTATCTGCAATGCATGGTCTGCTTTTTACTACTTTCAAATAAGATTTTTATTTCAGTTATTGTCATTTTCATTATGTAGCATGCTCTGCTTAACCAGGTCTGCTTTTGCTCAATAGAGACAATGTCATCTTTTATTTCATTAGGAATAAAAAGTAGGTAATTTCTAAAAAACATGTCTTCTGTTTCAAGAAATAGATCAGACTGATTTCTAACTTGGCTCTACTGTATGGCAGAATTGCTGCTAGTGTTTTTCATCTTTGAGATTGATGTGTTGATATTTTCATCCTGGAAGTTAAGATTTTTCTTGGACATCTTGAACAGCAGCAATTGTTGTTTTGGGGAAAGATGGATTTATTAGAGAAATGATCCTGACACCTTAAATCTCAACCAGTGGTTCTTGAATTTCTGAGCACATGAGAATCATCTGGGGAGCTGTGTAAGAATTCAGATTCCGGGGCTCCACTCCTAGTGATCTGAATCAGCATATTGGGATGGAGTGCTCAGAAACATCATTTTTTAAATGTTCACTATAAAATTGTCAAACACGCACATAAGTAGAATAGTATAGTAAACCACTACACACCTATCAATCAATTTTGGCAATTATCAATATTTTGCTTATCTCGTTTCTTCTATCACCACTGCCCCTGTGTTTTCCTTTCTTTTTTAAATAATTATTATTTCGTGTATGAATATTTTAAAACATATCTCACACATCAGTTCCTTCATTCTTAAATCTAAAAATTGTATCTTTAACTGATGAGAACTTTCTTTTTTAGATTCACCTTATCAGAACAGAGAAATTTTTAAATATATATAACTGCAATGATTTTATCACACCCAACAAATTTAAAAACAATTCCTAATATCCAACAATGCAGAATATTATTCAGATTTCTCATAGTGATTCAACAATGTCATTTTATGGATAGATTGTTGAATCAGGTCCCATATAATGTGTACATATTATATTTGGTTATTATATTGCTTTTGTTAGAGTAGCTATTCTTAAAACTTGTCTTCTAGGTCCTGGGTGAGATGTTGGCATATGATCCCTTCCACAGTGAAGTTGTTTTATTCCCTACACAGGAAGACAACTTTTGTCTTCCAGCCGTGACAGAGATGGACATAAATCAATTAAAGATGTGAGTCAGGAAACAAAATCCAAGTCAAGTTAAAGACTCTTGAGTTTGGAATGGCTCAATAGCACCAAGGATACTCACTATCTGCCTGTCACAATATTAAATAAAATAGTGTATATAGGTGCTTAAGAGACCTGGCATAAGGTGAGCTAGTCAAATTTGTATAGAAAATAAAAGTAAATAAATTTATTGATGTTCCTTTCTGTCACACACATTTTCAAATTTAATGTTCCCAATAACCTGATGATAAGCATATTGCCAATCCTATTTTATAGCCATCTAAAATGAGTCAAATAATTTGACCACCAGGGATGAAGCTGGAACTTAAACACAGGGGTATCTAATTCAAAATTCTATGCTACATCATACTATCACAGCAGGGTTGAGAGCAATCCGGCAAGGAGCCAGGGAAGTAAGGCAGGAAGTCCAGTGATGTGCATACTGAAATCCAGGTAGGAATTATGAAAGGAACTAAATATGAAAGAGGCGAGAGGACAATCAAGGAAGAAGTCCACAAGCCATATAAAGAGGGATAACAAAAATCATAGCATTTGGTTGATTGAGTGAATAGTAGGTTTGAAGAGTCTAGATTTTTGGTTTTTATATCTGAGTAAATGGTGATATCATTCATCAGGACAGGCAATTACTTGAAGATGTAAGTTTTATGAAAATTTTTTTAGACTATTAATATAGAATTCTTGGATGCTAATCAGTAATTGAATATGTGAATCTGGTATTTGCCAGTGAATTGGAAAGTAGTCAAATCCATGGAATACTATAGAAAATAAAAAGATCAGAAGGTTGGGTATGGAACCTGGATAATACCACCATGAAGAGGATGAATTGAGGCAGGTAAGAACTTAAAAGAGACAAAGATAGATGAGCCAAAGAGGGTAGAAGAAAATAAGAAAATGGATCAAGAGAATAGAAAATTACAAGAGAGTACAAGTGGTCAACAGGGACAATGATTGCAGTAAAGTATAGTGAAACAAAGATGCTAAAGAATGAGGCAACTAGTAGCCTGCTTTTGGAACTTAACATGATATTTGTTAAAAGTAATACTACTTGAAACAATTTTGATTCTTGAGTCTGTCATCTTTTATATTAGCTAGTTTTTTTCTGCTTTGTATCATTTATACAATTTATATATATATACACATCTGCTTTATATGCATCCCTAATAATAGATACAATTTGTTAAATGTCATCTATATCCCCGATTCTTTATATACATCATTAATTTATAAATAATCCTGCAAAATCCCTATTATCACCTCCATTTTAAAGATGAAAAAACAGAGTGTTCCCATAGCTGTAATTCAAAGAGAGCAGAGGTAAATCAGGCAGATACCAAGGGCTGTTCTCTTCACACTTACACTACAAACCCCTTGCTAAGTGCCATCAAATGCAGCTTCCTTATGCCACAGGAAAACTAGTGACACATAGCAAGGTTATTTGATGTTTCCAACCCTTGAAAGGTGCTGGATTATTTAACCCACCATAGAAGCAAGAGGATTGGTTAATATGAAGCAAAGTGAAGACGGATACATCCACAATGAATGAACTAAAAGGTATATAGGTAATGAAGTTTAAAATAATCACATCTAAAGGGAACCATAAGAAAAGAAGCAACATTGAGTGAGACCCACAGGAAAATCAAATGATATCACTTGTTCCACTGGGCTCCACTTTAAAAAGGCAAGAGCACAAATGAGTATTCTTGCACATCCCAACCTACCCTAATGTAATTACACAACCACTTTCTGACATTGAAAACTGAACACAGTGTAAAGTCCATGGGATGATTTTAATTAAAAGTTTTTTCAAAAGCAAACATGAATGGAATTTTCAAAAGGGCAAGTAAAAATCAGATGTCTGAGTGTTGCAAAGATTTCACTTACTGGGTGCATTTGGGTTGATACTATTTTGGATGAAAACACTTCTGACTCCAATAGGGTCAGCTCATTTTATATGTTGGAACCCCCTGAACTTCGGATGAACTCAGACCTATAGCACAGTATGTTTGAGTGTAATGTTACCAAATGGCAGATAAATGATAGCAATGAAAGTATGAGGAAAATGCTGGAGGATTCCAAATGAACACTAAATAATTGTAAACTCTCGTTAATCTCTGTAAGTGCAAGACTACCCTGCCCTCTTAAGCATAAATCCCACCAAAGTGATCACTTTTTTCAGATCACCGGCTTCATCAGATCTTCATCAACCACCATATTTAGTTGCCAAGGTCTCATTTCTTTTAAAAATATACCTCCTTACTGTTGAGCCACTGTGCTGTTGCTGATTCACTGATACCAGGACATATGCTTCGAGTTATAGGTTTAGTAGGGTGTGGGGGAGGTGGAGTAGAAAGAGGAGAGGAGATAATTTGCTCCTTTCTATTCATGCTCTGAACTGGCCTGGCCTTGGTTAGACATATGGCAATGAATAGGCATGTATCCTGCAGGCACACAAAAGGGCTAGCTATGGGACTCCCTTGGGGATGCAACATGGAAGTCATCATTCATACCATGCTCTAGCCTATAGGGTTTTCAGATTTTGGTGTGAGTTAGAATCACAGGGGGAGTCGTTATTAAGAATTCAAGCACTTGCATCCTATTTTAGTCCTACCCAATTAAAATCTCTGGAGGTGGGCCTCTGGCATCCCGGCTGTCCTCAGGCTCCACCTGTTGGGTACACACCACAACTGCAGAAACACCGCTCTGGCTACCAGGGGACACCTCTTCAGCCAGGACGCTGCCTACTTGCTGCGCGGCAGATGGTGCTGGCTGACAGAGGCTCTGCCCTGTTGTCCAGGTCCTGGCTGCCACTGCTGCCTGTCTGATTTACTCTTTCTTTTCCTTTTATAAAATCCTTTGTCTATCTTCCACTTGGAAACAAAACAAAACAAAACAAAACAAAACAAAACAAAAAACAAGACCAATATACTTAAAAAAAATCATGAAAGTAGAGAAATCTAGAAAACATACACAAGAAAACAAATCATTTATAATTGCATCATTCAAAGATGCAAAGATTACTTTTAATGCTAAAGTAAATTATTTTCACTGTATATTCAAACAGTTATAGCCATCCTGTCATAGAATCTTATACTCCATTTAAAAAGTAGTTAATTTTTATTGAGTGCTATGTGCCTGTGCTGAGTACTTTATATTCATTGTCTCATTTAATCCTCACAAAATCACAACATCCCTATAAGGATTGAACAATTATGTCTCCATTTTATATGTTAAGAAATTGCAGTTTGGAGAAGTCAGACTAGATAATGACCCAATGCTGGCTTGGACCCAAGAACACAGTCTCTTTTCTTACTCTAACATTTGACATATGTATATTTCCAAGGTATTGAAAACATTTTCTAAATAACATTTATAATAGTCACATACTTTCTACTGTAGGATTCTATCATTTGCTTACCCAATGCTCATAATCCAACAATGGATTATAAATTGCTATAATGTTGCAATGAATATCTTCATGAATTTAGCTTATTTGTTTTTCCAATTACTTCCTTAGGAGAAACACCTAGAAAATGAATCAATATGTCAAAGAGTATAAATATTTTAAAAATAGAATTCTTGATGGACACAGCTAAATTGCTTTTAACAAAAGATTACAAATTTTTTTCCACACATTTTTAATCTGCTCTGGCCAAAATGTTTAGGTAGCCATTTCTTATTTTTCCTGATTATAAATCACTGCCGGGTGACCATATTTGCACATTTATCTCTGGTTATTTTTCTGATTATTTCTTCAAGTTAAATTCCTAAAGGTGGAATTGCTGGATCAATGGGTACATGCATTTAAAAAGCTGTTGATACTTATGGTATTTCTAAATTGTCTGCTAGAATGGTCACATTTATACTCCCAGCAGAAGGGATTGAGTGACCATTTCTTCACACCATTGTCAACAGAAAGCATATTGTTTTTGTCTGCATTTTTAAGAACTAAACAGTAGAACAGCTTTTCAAATTTATTGATCCATTGCTTTCCTCTTTCCTCTTTCCTCTTTCTTTTTGTAAATTTCTTATTTATGTCCTTTTCCTTTACTTAAAAAAATCTTTTAGTTGCAAGTCTCTTTTTATTAATTATTAATTTGTAGGAGTTCTTTATATCAGGGTTAATAACTCTGTCATATACATTGCAAAATATCTCTACTTTGTCATCTCCATATTTCTTATGAATGTTTTTGATGTAATAGAGTTTAATAAATGGTCAAGCCTATAAATATTTTCTTTCTGGCTTCTACCTTTGGTTTTAGATAGAATTTAGAAAATGTATTCTCATCCAACTAAATACAAATAGTCACATACATTTTCCTTTAAGTTTATATAATGCATCATTTAATCTTTAATTCATTTGGAACATATATTGGGGAAAGTATATAAAAATTCTACTATATTTCATGCAGTTAATAAATTAAGTCAGCAATATTTCTTAAATAATTATTTTTTCTCCTATGTGAAAGGATAACATTATACATGTATGAAAAAGATATAAACATACACAGATATACACATAGACACACACAAACATACAGACACTTTATATTGTGTGTATAAGCATTGCATATATATGTGTATATATATATATATAAATGAGCATATGTATATACCTATATACTCAGTTGTCCCTTGAATAATGTGGGGATTCGGGGCATTAACCCCCTCCACCCACTGACACCCCACGTAGTCAAAAACCATTCTGTATCATTTGAATTCCTCAGTACTTAACTATGAATAGCCTATTGTTGACCAAAGCCTTACTAATAATTATGGTTGATTGCACATAGTTTATATGTTATTTGTATTATATACTATGTTCTTATGATAAAGTAAGCTGGAGAAAAGAAAATGCTATTAAGAAAATCACAAGGAAGAGAAAATATATTTACTATTTATTAAGTGGAAATGGATCATCATAAAGGTTTTCATCCTCATCATCTTCACATTGAACAGGCTGAAGAGGAGGAGGTAAAGGAGGGGTTGGTTTTGCTATCTCAGGGGTGGTGGAGATGGGAAAAAAATCTGCTTAGAAGTGGACCTGAGCAGTTTAAACTGGTGTTGCTCAAGGGTCAACTGTATACATGAATGTATATATGTATATGCATTTACACATATGTACATATATATATAATACTTCAAAATATTTCTGCTGGTATAATCAATATTCAAACAATCTAATTCATTGATTGATCTATCCGGTCTTTCATTCATTTATTCAATGCATATTCATGAGTAGGTTCTACATGCAAGCACATAATAGATACTTCTTTCTCAATCTTATTATTCTTGTATTTACAGGGAAGAGGTCCTATCATTTAATGAGAAATTCTACTTTGCTCTAAACTTTATAGGATGGATGGTCTTTTAAGTTAAGTAGACACTTAATCACCTCAAGCATAACAAGTTGCTCTGATTTTACTTTTAGATCTTTTTGGTTTGGGTCCATATGAAGATAACATATTCGTGAATATGGATAAGAAAACATATTCGTGAATAAGGACTGGCCCTGTCTTAGTACCTCTCAAAAGCTTGGCAAATGTGTAATTACATGCACAATATGCTTTTGAGGCAAATTTATCCTCTTGAAATTTGGGTGTAAATTATTTACGCTAATTTTACAAATGAAGCAGATTCTAGGAGAATACATGACTTATCCAAGGTCACACATCTAACCCAGTGACTGTGTTAGGATCAGAGCCAGGTCTCTTAGCTGTCACTTCAGGAAACTTTCTATCACCACACTCTTTTTTTTTTCCTGGTATTTCATTTGACTCTTCTAACTGCTCTGCTAAATATCTTGGTGTGAAGGCGAGGTCATTGAGTCTCTCGTGTCATAAGTGAGTATATTGTCAAATCATGGAAAACTCTCAATGACTTGTGAAATCAATCTGTTCTGTATTTCAATATGTGTACATTATGCATTTGGTTGACTAAGTTATTAGTGGTATAGAAGAATTAAATACACCAACTGAAAAATTAAATACATATGGCAAAGTGATAATGCTTGTTAAAGTAAATATAGAAAATGCTAAGGATGGTTTTGTCATATGTTGAGGTCAACACTTTTTCAGTGGAAACATATTGAAAGTATAATTGTTCTTAGTGGGAAAATATTTCATATGAAAATATTCCTTGCTTTTACTGTTAAAATCAATGTATAAAAATCAATTAATGTAAAAATCAATCAATGTAAATATTTCTTTTGGTACATTATAGTAAATGTGCTAGGGAATCTATCTATTAATGAGAATTTGCAATGAACATTCAGCAAAAATTTTTTGAGGGCTTTCTCTATGCCAGGCTGTATGCAGTATTCATCATATAAGAATGAACACGACTCATTATCTCTTCTTTGTGGAATTTATAATCTCCTAGTAAAGAAAGGCAAGAAGTGACTAGAAGGTATTATGTAGGTATAATACAGTAGGTAGGTATAATAAAGAAGACTGACTGGACTAGAGTTGAAGAAAAATTATTCTAAAGAAGTGATACTTAAGTTGAGTGTGAAAAGGCAAGTATTAAGGAGCTTCGGGCTGGGTGCAGTGGCTCACGCCTGTAATCCTAGCACTTTAGGAGGCTGAGTTGGGAGGAGCACTTGAGGGCCTGGGCAAGAGCAAGACCCATCTCTACATAAAAATAGAAAAATTAGCCAGGTGTGGTGGCACACACCTGTAGTCCCAGCTACTCGGAAGGCTGAGGCAGGAGGATCACTTAAGCCCAGGAGTTTGAGGTTGCTGTGAGCTATGATGACAGCAATGTAGCCTGGGTGACAGAGTGAGACCTTGTCAAAAAAAGAACAAAAAAACAAAAAAACAAAAAAAAAAAAACAATCTTAGGAGTGGAGATGGGAATTGAGAAGTAGGAATAATATTCCAAGCAAAAAATCTTACAAAGGCAGGAGGTAAGGAGAGGTTCTGTATTTCAGAGACTGGTCAAATTTTATGTGACTTTGAAATTAACATTGAATTCTTTATAAAAGGAGCTGGAGGGAGACAGGTAGAAAAGGCAGTTCTTTACAAAATTTTGGTGGAGACTTGAGCTTGTTTGATGACTGATACGAAGACGTCAAGGTAAACCTGTATATACATAAGACAAGGTTCTTGAGAAAGAGGGAGGAGATAAATCCATCACAGTAGGTGAAGTGATAGGCCTCCCTCAACCAGAAAAGGAGGGAAGGGAAGATCAGGATATTCAGAGCATACAAGTTTTTAGATTTGATGGTGGAAAGTTGAAAGACTCAGAATCTCTGATGGTTTGTGTTTTTCCCCTGAAGCAGATTGGAGGGAATGAAGAGAAGGAAGGAGAGTTTGGAGAAAGGTAAAGATTCTGAATTAATCATGAGGTCAATGGGAGACAACTGACTAGAGAAAATCATATTTTATTAAAGTGAGGTCTCTTGTGTGTACTTGTATTATTCAAAACTTATCTTGACCTTTGTCTATGAAGTTGTCTGAGAAATTAGAGAGAAGGGAAACTAAGACAAAGAAAATCATTGAGGGATGCTTCAAAAAAGACTTCAAAACAATTATTTCACTGAGATAGAACTTTCAATAAAATAAAAATTCTCAAAGTGTAAACTTCCCTTGACTTCCATTCACTACGAAATTTCTTGAAACAGTATTTAATACTTGCTTCCTTTTAATCGACCCCCATGCATTCCTCTGTCCCTTGCAACAGAACTAAACTTTCCAAGGACACAGATGATTTAATTACAAATTCTTTGGCTTTATTCTACACCATCTTTCCTTACTCCCTCCCCCCCTGTCATTTTGAAATGCCTTCATTGGCTCTTAGGATATAATCAGCATCTCTTTTTGATTCACTTCCTGCTCCACTCTAATGTTGCCATTTCTCAGTATTGTGATTTTTAGATTTTTTTCTCTTTCCTCCTATAATTTTATAATATTCATGTTTTATATTTTTTATACGTCAGTGCAGATGTCTCTCAAATATACAACTCCAAAACATGATCCTACAACTACTACAAGTCCTTATTTTCAATAGTCCAGCCAGACACCCTGGTCTAAATGTTCCAATGGAAACTCCAAACCCTACTTTAACATTTTGCTATTTCCTAATTTGTATTAACATCTTCCTAGTCCCATAGATTCAAATCTTCGAAATCATTTTTTCACTTCCTTTTCCCTCTGGTGCATATCAGTTATTCTACCCATTGATCCTATTCTTTTTATGACAACATTAATTTATCCTTTTGTACTGTACTTCAGGCTCTCAATAATATTTGTTTGGATAATTGTAACACTCTTTATAATTCTGTTCTTCCTACCTTCAGGTTTCCTCTACTCTTTCCTATGTGCCATTGTCAGAGTGATCTTCCTGCATATTAAATGTGATTATGTTATTCCCATGCTCAAAATTCTCCCACATTTTCCCATTAGGGGAAGCTGTTGTTTGTTAGGCTCCTCATAAGTACCAGCCAGTTTGCAAAGTTTATCTTACATTACCTTATGTTATACATCCTCCTTCTTCTCATCACAACCTAAAAGAGAAGTATTGTCCCCGTCTTACAATTGAGAATGGTACAGGTCATAGAGCTAAACTAATGGTAAAGCAGAATTCAAACAAAGAATCTGGTTAACTGTAAATCTCTGTTCCTGGCTTCACATTCAAGGTCGTCAAGATGTATAGCAAATATACATTTTCAACCTTTGCCCCACCATCATTCTTTTAAATTTAATTTTTTTTTTGGGGGGGGGCGGGGGACTAGGTCTTTCTGTGTTGCCCAGGCTGGACTTGAACTCCTGGGTTTAAGGGATACTCCTGCCTCAGCCTCCTGAATAGCTGGGACTACAGGCATGAGCCACTGTGCTTGGCTTTATATGAGTTTTACTAGATTTCTGGCATGAATACCAAGCAGTGGAAAGTCTTTGAGGTGCTAATGCTCAAAAAATTATGCAACAGTTAACCAAGGGCTACATAAGTTTGGTATTCTGTGCTGTACCAGATCAACAAAATAGTGATGAACCTGTTATAGTTTAGGCCAAAGTATAATACTGCTACCCTTTTCTTTTTTTGGTTGAGGGGAAAAGATATTATAAAAGATGGTAAATAATTTATAATTTATAATACTTTATGTAAAGCTATATAAACACTATGCACAGTTTGTTGGGATTTAGTCTCCACAGCAAGTACAGTTTATTTTTATAAATGAATCCATCTATTATTCCTTTATATAAATAGGCATTCTATCTGTGCAAGAGAAAGGAGTCTTCAAAATGCCTCAGAAAACCAAATGCAGCTGTAAATAGCTATACAACTTTGTACATGATTTAAAAAGTTTTCATAAATGTATAAACATCATTGTACAGATGTGTGAAGGATACAGTGTTTAGTGTTATTTGAATACTCCAAATATTTGTTAGCTTAAAAGTGTATTCATATTTTAAAAATTCGGATGATGAAATTCACACTATTCTTGGCAAAATCTTTGGAATTGGAATAAAGGAGATTATGAATGTCACAATAGATCATGTCAATAAGCAGGAATTAATATTTATTTGAAAGCTCTTCTATGCAAAGAAACCCACAATCAGCAGACAAATGATAGCATATTTACAAAGGCACTTATTTTGTTGAGCTATTCACCCTAAGGAAGTGACTTTATAATTCATTTCTCTCTTCTTACTTCCACCTATTTATTATACAATCCTATTTACCCTATTTGCTTCTCTCAATGTGTAGCTACAAGAAATATTCCTGCAATGCCTCTGCATAATCCGTAGAAAATCATATATAAATTTCAGAAAGGCAATGAGTAGGAAGCATGCAGTCCTCCATGGTGTTCATTAATGAGTGCTAGTGACAAGATCCTGTCAGGTTGAGTTTACTAATTTTTCCTTGCATGGTTCCTATTTCCTCAACAGAAAGCTTAGGCTTCAGTAGGATACCTCACCATTGGTGGCAGGAGCAAAATGATTTGCATCCTACAAAGCATAGGGTTGTTACTGAGAAAGAGGAATGAGGTCCTCAGATTCTACTTATTTAGTGAGTAGCAGAAAAAAAATTGCCACATCGAATTAGATGATCGCCTTATACGTTTAGTCACTTCCACACTGCTGAGTACTTCTCATTTTCCTATGGCACCTGGATAATAAAAGAATTAGGATTTAGGGGTGGCTCCTAGATGAATTCGGATACAGAAGCTAACATATAAATAACTCCCGCGGTCTTATACATCTGCTAGAGGGAATTTGCAGCAAATACCTTCAGAAGTGACAAAGTGACTGCAGGTCCCCTACAGCCTCTTCATAGTCTCTTTGATGTGTTTCCTTCTTTTAGGAAGAAAGGCTGACATTTATTCTTTATTGTTAATTCTATTGCTAATTCCAAGGGGTAGGGGTAAGGATCACCACAAATCCAAATGAAAAAGAGAACAAAAGCAAAAAACAAATGAAGGCTCTTTCCCTCCCACCTGGGATCTAGGAAATGTACTACTGGGATTGTCTGCAATTGCTAGCATTATTTGTGGGCTATTGATTCTACACCTGTGGATTCCATGCAAAAGTCAGATTTCTAAAATAACCGCAATTTCATGGTTGATCATAAAGCTCTCATTGTTTTTGACAATTTCTGACCTGCTTCTATGCTGCCAATGTGTCTGCTGCCATTTTTAATAAGCTTTAGAGTTGGTGGATTAACACTGAATGTCAAGCACCACAATTAGAATTGCTGATCGTATGCAGAAACAATATTTTAATATATTAAAAACTGCCTTACCATAAAATTCAGCACTCACTTCTGTTGTATTTGATCATTCTTTCATGCACTTCTTAGCTCTCAATAACCCTTGTGTGAATACAAGCCTTTGAAAGGGAGAGAGTTAACATAAATAAAAATGACAATCGGAAGTGGAACCTAATTTCCTTTCACTTTTATAAAAAGGTGCATTAGGCCATTTAGCTGTGCAGTCTTCCTATGATTCATCATCAACAACCATGTAATCCAAAACCTATGAAAGTAAATTTGAATGCTGGACCACAACAGAGAAAAATGCACCTCCCCAGCACGGGTTGGAGTCAGGCTTTCTTATATTTTCAAATTTAGAGCATAATTCTCTAGAAAGGAGTGGCATTGCTTATCCACTCTATTTCATATTATTTTGGATAGTTATGAAAATTGTATATGAATTTATTCCATATTTTCCTACAGTATCAGGTAGGATAACTCAGTTTTGGGGAGAACTCAGTATTTCTCAAATGTTCCCCAAAGCTTAACATATGTCAAAATATTTTTTATATATGTGATTGGCAATCAATGAGATAAAAATTATTCATTTGGATTTATCCATGACTAATCTAATTATAACTAGACTTAATGCAGAATCCTATACTCCTCCTTAAGATGTAACATTCTCTGTTCTCCATTCCAAGTCAGTGGACTAATCAACTTATTAATAGCTATCAATGAGTTAGAGTTCACTCTATTTGGTATTTTCCTTCCTTTTTAAATTATTCCCTTTTTAATATAGGGATATTTACTAAAGAAAACTTGGAATATGCTAAATACTATAACAGAGGAAAAAAGCACCCACACTTGTGTCAGCACACTTACCTAGCTATTAACATTTTGGAGGTAATTCCATCTTTCCCTCAAATCTTTTCTTATGTATTTTTAAAAAGGAATGCACAGTCAAATTATAGCATATTTACAATTTTTATCTTACTTTTGTCACTTGGCATTATGTGAACCTTTTTCATGTTACTATAAACTATGAAGCACAATTTTTAATGGCTTTAATATAATTGTCCATGAAGTGAATTAATCATCAGGCCAATTTCTTAAGTATAGATTTGCCTTTGAACGGAGCCGTAGAAGGTACATAAAAATTGAATCAGTGGCAAGCAAGAAGACAGATACAACAATATGCCAAAATTAGAGGCAACAATTAAAGACATGCGACTGAATAACTGAAAGATAGCTTAGGGTCCAGTAGCCAGTGGCAGAGTTAACGATGTGGCTTAATCATCAGGCAGTAGTTCTTGGACTCCATCTGCTATGCCATACGAATCCGCTGTAGGTTCTTCAGCATAGGTATGAAGATTCATGCAGGAAATTAAGAAAGCTAATGTGGCAACAGTGTGTAAATTGGATTGAGCAGAGAAAGAGTAACAAAATATCTGGGTCAGAACTATTGAAATGGTCTAGGCCTGACAAGGCTAGCTTATTAGAAATAGCAATACAGCAATTGATCTGACTTGTTCATTCCAAGGTAGTTATTAAATATCAAAGAATAATGTTACTGTATGTATTTAGAAAATTGAAAGTGAATAAATGACAAAAGCACAGGGTTATTCCCATTAATGTAACCCATGTGTGTTTGGTGCTCCTTATCAGGGATAGGATAGAGCTTGCAGGTTTGGAGTAGGCTCTGTTACGAGCTGTCCCAAGCAATGCTCTGCACCAACACGGCATCCTGGGAAAGAAGAGCAAGTAAGTCTCAAAAGAGAACACAGCTGTGATGCCTGAAAAAGGTCACAGAGAGTCTAACCAAGTGGACTAGGAAAAAGCCTCTTCAGTGCTGTACGAACTGTGTGGTAGAAGTCGGAGGGAAAGTCATCTCTGAGAAGGATTCGGTGCTATTCCAGAACTGGAATGCAAGAATGGTAAGAGCCCTGCTGTAATCTGAATATGTGTGTCTCCAGACAAAATTCACATGCTGAAACTTAACCCCCAATGTGACAGTATTAGGAAGTGGGGCTTTTGGGGGGTGATTAGATCACGAGGGTGGGGACCTCATGAATGGGACTAGTGCCCTCACAAAAGAAACCTCAGGGGGTTGCATGGCTCCTTCCACCTTGTGAGGTTACAGTGAGAGAAATGCCATCTAGGAATAAGAAGGTGGGTTCTCACCAGACACCCAAACTGCTGGCATCTTGATGTTGGATTTCCCAGCCACTCAGAACTGTGAGAAATAAATTTCTCTTGTTTATAAGCTACTCAGTTCATGGTATTTTGTTTTAGCAGCCTGAACAGACTAAGACAAGGCCGATTTAGAAACTATGTCATTCTGGGAATTTGATCTGAATGAGACAAAAGGACAGGGGCATAAAATGATCTTTGGAATCTAGAACTACCTGGAACAAAGGGTGGATTGGCGCCAGATAGTGAGCTAGGATTTGGGTAGGCCCCTTCTCCTCAGGCAAAAGGGGTCAGGAAGAGAATCAACAAATTACAGAAAGGGGGTGCTGAGCATGGCTGGATGATACCATGGTGCATATTCAGCAGGACCAGCTTAGTAGCATTATGGAAATGTTTTGCTTCTCATCAGCAGGCAGAGATGGAGAGATCATTTTCAAACTCTGGGTGGGGGCACTTATGATAGAAAGTAGATATTGTTATATTAACTCACTCCCCACCTCATTAGCAAAAATACACACAATGGTTTGTAGACTCCAGGGTATAAATCAGGATCCGCTGGTATGACATCTCAGAGTGAGGGCTCTCAACACCAGAGTTAGAGCAGACAGAAAAGGGTAGGCAACGAGTAGAGGTCTGAAACAGTTTGGCTATTGTCTTATTGGCAACTTAAATGATTGTATTCTATTGAATAAACCGAAAGGGTTTACGGGATTTTATCAAACTGAAAAATGATGAAAGTTCCACTGTGAGAAATCAATGAAGCTTCTTTTTATTGTTGTATAAAGAAATACACAATTAAGCACCCTATCTGTGAAACATCATGGTAGTTCTCACATTTTATTCCAAAGAAAACATATGTCAGACTCGACTAACATTTTATTCAATGCCTTCTGTGCCAAGCACTATTCTAAGGGATGTCTACCAGTGTTCTCAAAGTGTAGTCCAAGGATGGGTGCTGATCTGCAAACTGTTACCTGTCTGTGATTGGCAGGATAAGTAGCTTTTGACAAGATTTTAATCTATACACTACTTCCTTCCTTGGGAAGGTCTTGCTAGAAAAAAGATGTCAGCTAACTTCAAAGTGCGCTTAGTAACTTAGTTGATTTACATTCCGGTGAATGTTATCTTGTCATGGACAGGAAACAAACAGCTCATTGATATGCAATGGCCCACAGACCATATTTTAGATAAAACTGATATATATATATATGTATATATATACACACACACACATATAATATGTGTATATAAAATTATACCATTTAACCGAGTACGCAGATCAAGCCTAATAACTAATTGAGGAAAATGCAGGGCAGAGCAGACATTTAATTTAGCAGACATTTAATTGTGGTTCATTTTCTTACAGTCCTGTGTGTGCATCATGAAAATTCTACAACTCTGAAAACATTTGTGAAGTGGTTCAAAATCCTTGATTATCTTGAAAACTCTTAACATAAGCATTAAGTCTCACAAAGAATAAATAGCAGCAAACAAATGCATTTTCTTTTGTTAAGGAAAAGACTAGTCATATAATTTTTCTGAAAAATATCCCTGATCAATATAAATTCCAAAAACACTTAAAGGGCTTGTGAGAGAAGAAGGCAGACAGAGGATAGTCATTTGTCTCTTAGTTCCACTAGGGACTCTGAAGCAATTATGTTTTATATGTATATAATTGTATGGAAGTGCAAAGAGCAATAGACACACACAGTAACAAAGTTATAAGATTCTAACACATTTACAGAAGAAAGCAAATGGTAATGTTGACAAATAAAACACAGACAGACGCAGCAGCCAAGAATGTGCTGTAAGAGGGCAACTGAGAAGGTGAGAATGTTGGAAACCCAAATGGCTTCAGGCTCAGGGCTGAAAGGTTAGATGAGAGGAAGGGTTAGAAGTGGGGATTCAAACAGGGAGAAAAAGGGAAGATTTTATTTAGAACAACTGCCCTCTCAGTTCCATTACTCAGAGTGATTGGTAGCCTGGCATTTATTCCCAAACAAAATAAAATAAAAACCAGAGGGCTCCTTTAAAAATAAATAAACTATCTAGGGACAGACTAAGTTTCTATTATGAGTGTTGGCACCCAAGACTCAATCCCTCCTTATTTTGGCATTTGTGGTCCTGTGGCTTGCAGTCTGCAGTTTGATCTTTGGCATGTTTCCTTGCCAGTTGGGAATACTTGCCCAACAACAGAGCTTTAAATTAGACTTCTTACCCATAGAGGAGACTTATACAATAATGCACTTATATGGTGGCCAAAGAAAGCCATGCCAACTTCACAAACCTTGATGTTTATATAAGAATGGATCATCAAAAGTCGCTAGACATTGGAAGAGAAGTTACAGCACGACTGAGCAAAGCCAAGACAAACAAAAAGAAAACTGACATTGAAGGAAACAAAAATAATTCAGAAAATAGAACCACATAAAAACTATAATATGCCTACATAGGGTCAAAGAAAGACACACACACACGATTATAAAAGAAGAGGTAAGTAATATAGCAATTCAATTCAGACATCCAAAGTACATCTAATAGAGCTGCAAAAGAGAGAGCAGAGAAGATGTAGAATAAGAGATTATCAGAAATGAAAAAGAAAATTTTCTACAATTAAAGAAGAAAATCAGCCTTCAGATTTAGAGGCTCCACAGAAAAACCAAAACAATGAGTAAGAAAATGCCAGCACCACAACACATCCACACATCTTTTTTAGGAAATCTAAGAAGATCAAAGCTAAAAGGATGATCCAAAGAGGTTTAGAGTAAAAGACACACACACACACACCCAGCGTGCTATGACGGGGCCTGTGAATAGCCACTGCACTCCAGCCCGGGCAACATAGTGAAAACCCCTCTCTGAAAAAATAAAAAATAATTTAAAAAAGTCAAGGGAGTAATGCTTTAAAAATGCCAAAGGAATATTGTTTTGAACCCAGAATTCCATTCTAAGCCAAATTATCAATCCAGAGTGAAGGTAAAATAAAGATTTTCATTCAAAGTTAATTTTCCAAATTTTTCTTCTGAGGAAGCTAAACATGTGTTTTAGAAAAACGAAGAAGAAAACAGAAGTCAAGAGAGTCAAGAAATAATTAAGTCAGGCCAGGATAACAGAAAGGAGGAACCCTAGTGCGACATCTGTGCTGCTGGCTTCCATCTCTAATAACTCACACTGAGGTTGGTAAGCAGGGCTGTTAGTCAGTACACACAGGGACGCCCAGTTGGCTGTTTACAAATGACTTCTACCCTGATTGGTCAGTGATGATGTCATTTGTTAAATAATTTGACTCCAAGGTGAATCCAAGGAGGAAGTCAACAGGAAAAATGGCTGACAATGTGCAATAGATTTTATAATTGAAAAGATGAAAACCCTTAGCTATGATAAACATACATCCAGTGTTAATAAGTTAACAAGGAAGGAAAGAAAAAGCTATACAAAAAGTATACAGATTAATATGCAGGAGATACAAACCAAAAAATAATGTAGCATGATTTTTAAGCAATCGGAGTTCACTTTTAAATAATCTACTTAACCTTGGTGCTAGAAAAATCGAATGACTAACAGGTCATGGCATTAGTTCATAGAAAAGGAAATGTAATCCTAGTACTCAATTCATCCATGAACAACATTGACATAGTCATAGGACCCCAGTCTACCGAATGTTATTTTTAGAATCAACCTATGGATCATAAGACTTTGGTTATTATGGTTACAGCACAAAATGTAAAAATTGAGAGTCCTGACAACATAAATATAACAATAATAATAGTAATAAAAATAAAATAAGACAAAATAAAAATAAGACAAATAAGACAAAATAAAAATAGGAATAATTGAGAAGGTGGATTAGTGGAATAGAAGGCAAAGTAGAAGAAAGTTTAGGGACATTAAAATTCTCATACAGGGAAAATTAAGGTGCTCACTAAAGTTGTTGGAACAAGGAATAAAAAATTCATTTTTTGAAGTTATAAAAATAATAGAAGAACAACCATTAAATAATGGAAAAAAGAGATTAATTAGTGAAAATAATGCTATATCATTATCACATCCTCATACTTATAGTGTGGAATCAGTAGACATTGTTCAAAACTTCTTCATTGATAGCAAGGTAAAAGCATATCGGTTATGGAGGTAAACACACCATAAGAACAAAAACAAATGATTAAAAAGATAGTTGTCTCTGTGTGGTGAGATTAAATGAATAAAAATCCCTCAATCTTTATTTTGTTTATCATCAGCACCTATTCTGATTTTTAAAAGGTAATAAAACAAGCATTTGTTGTGGATCTACTACATGCATGTGAATACTAAAGGAACAAAAAAGGATTCTACTTCTCTAAAGTCTTTCCTATTTAATACGTGAGACAGGACATGAAATAACTTAAGGAAAAGGCAACCTGTGAGCAAGTACCTAGCAGAGTATAAAATGTACTTGAATAGGAGCCAAAGGATTGCACACGCCTAATGACAGTATTTCATCTTATTTTCGTGGCCTCTAAGAGAAAATTGGGAGAATAGTTCTTTAGAAAAGATTTCTTGGAAGAGGACAGTCTTTACCAGATCAAGGTATCCTCAAGAAAGTAATGGATTCCTAGGGGTGGGGAGGAAATGGAAAGTCCTTTTTCAACAAGATGAAACCCATGAGAAAATACCCAGAGATAAGAAGTAGTTAACATGTGGTTAAGTGCAGGGGATGGTAAACAGAGTGAGTATTGTGCAGAGAAACCATATCATGTAGTTTTTAATAGCACTGCCTTCTAGAAGTTATACCATGTATTATCTTGAATCACTTCTTTCTGGCATGAAAAATGTTATATGAAATAACGATTGGGTTTTATTTATTTATTAGACTTAAGGTTGCTTCTAAGAGAGACTGGTTTATTTATAAGAATGCAAATTTTAAAAGCCTTCTGGAATTTAGAAAAGGCTTGTCATTTAAAGCCTCTATAAATTAGATATGTTCTATTCTATACAACAAACTTTTACATGTTCTTTCTCACAAGATATGTGACATCAACAATTTATTAAATGTGACTCTTTGAGGAAGCCATTTGAATTTGAATTCTAAGATTAAAAAAATGACCTTAGTCAAGTATCTATTAGAAACTCCATCTAAAAAAAAAAGAAGTTGATTTTTCTCTGAAACATATTTGTACTCAAAATTTCCTGTAGTGTTTTAATTTTATTCAGTTCAATATTTTTTTCTTTATGTCAGAATCAGCTAACAATTAAAGCTTACCTAAGACTGTAAGTAATTTCAAATGGATTTAAGATTTCCATGCACTGTCTATTGTTTCATTACTTAAAGTGACTTTCATGTATTTAAAAATGTTTAGATGCAACTTTGTAGTGGTAATAAAAGGCCTTTCCCATTGCCTCAAGTGTTTCAAGCCATTGCGGTCACCATGAAATTGTGGGTTCTCAGATCTCCAAATGCAGGGATTGCAACTGACAAAGCACCTCAAATGCTGGACTCTGATAATCCATCTCTGAGTTTGACCAGAAGGTTCACACTTCTAAGGGCTGCTTCAGCCAACAACTAAGTGCAGCAGGGATATTAAGACAAACAGTTCCTGAGAGAGGCAACGCTTCTCTCATGGGCGACTTTTGGCTCAAAGCTTCCCTGTTGGCTTTTTAAGACTTTCTTAGAACTGTACCATAATCTAAAATTTTTCCTACCCAACCTTCATTCCTTTGCTCTCTCCTCCATAAGGATTATACCTGCATGGCAATCTGACAACTTCCCTAGTCCTTCCAGCTTCTCCTCCATTTTCCCTCATAAGAGTCCTCCCCAGTAAATCTCCTACAGGTCTAATCCTGTGCCTACTTCTTGGAGAACCTTGAAGATCACATTTTAAAAATGTCTGATTTTCCCGTCTCTTCAGTAAGACTATAAAGGAAATCGAAATGACCCAAAGAGAGGTCAGGGAATACTAGGTAGAGAATACTAGGTAGAGAATACTAGGTTAATAATTTTGTTGTATACATAGTTTCTCCATCCAACAATTATTGATTACTTACTATGTGCCAGGTAAAGCAATAAATGCTTGGGATGCAGAGATTGAATATGATCTAGCCTTTGACCCTTACAATTTCATTGACTGGCAAGGAAGGCAACAGTTGCTGAATAAACCTTCTTCCCCTGCTATGAAGGATCATGGCTTTTGGATGGAATGTTG